GTTCCTTGATCACTTGGTCTTGCATCAAGAATTTCCAAAGTTAATATTTTTGGTTTGATGTCATATGCGGTAATATATCGTTTACCTTCAACCAATGGTTTACCATCCTTTAACCAAGTGAACTAAAGAAAGAAAAAATGAGATATGAGCTGGACATCTTTTTTTCTCTCATGTCTTTTAATGAAAGTCAGCATATCGATATTCATGTATCTTGTTAGTATATTATCTTGGGTGGAACTCAATCGATACTAGCGTACTTCAACGAACGAACTAACTGATATTTAATACAGCGAATTATTAATTCAGTATACTCATTGTAGTCTAATATCTGATTACTGAAAAAAAATGAACGTGCACACTTACCGTTCCCATCGGTGATCCAGCATCAATAGTGCTTCGGAATATAATAGGCATAGATTCTTCAACGACATTATCACTCAATGGTACAATAACACGTGGTGGTCGTTGTTCTTCTGCTGGACCGGTTGTTGATGGTTGATGTTCAGCACCAGGTACAACATTCAGAGGTCTTAATGTTTCACTTTCAGGTTGGTTCTTAATACGATTTTTATCAGTCGGTACTTTAGCTTTATCACCAGCAGTAGGTTTCTCTGGTGCAATAGTTAACGTAGTACCGGTCGAATCTTGACCTGCTGGATTGGTTGCTACAACCAAATACTGACCAACATCTTCTGGACGAACATCAGTGATTTGTAATACAACTTGTTTCGTTGGTGCATCATATTTAGTACGAATACGATTAGAAGTCATCAATGGTTGACCATCTTTCAGCCAAACAAACTAAAAAATATCAAACATTCATCAATCTTTTGTTCTTTACAAATGATCTCTTACATTTGGTGTTGGTGTTCCAACAATAGTTGCACGAAGAAGAACTGGTGATCCTTTTGTTGCTTCTACGTTTTCTAAAGGTACAACTACTTTTGGCGGTTGTACTTGTTGCATTTCTTCTTTTGTTGGAACTGGTGCTTTGACTTCGACTGGTTGTGGTGTTGCTGAAGGAAGAGTATCAGGCGATGTTGCTGGTCGAATAGCTAGTTTAGCAGTAGTTTCATCAGTACCCAATGGATTTGCAGCACGAACTGTATAAGTGCCTTGATCACTTGGTCTTGCATCAAGTATTTCCAAAGTTAATATTTTTGGTTTGATATCGTATGTGGTAATATATCGTTTACCTTCAACCAATGGTTTACCATCCTTTAACCATGTAAACTAAAAAAAGAGATAATGAGATATGAGCCAATGGTTAATCAGGAATCATGTGAAGACGATGTTACGATTACTCGTCATATTTTTTCAAATGAGTATCGGCATATTGCCATCGGTTTCATTAAAATACTTTTCTTTTAATTCCCTCAAGCAAATCTAAGACATACAATCCGATTGCACACAAAATAGTACTCAATAGAATGCAGATAGAGTGACTCCAAATGCATCATATAGTATGCACACCTGAATAGGTGCTCTCATGAGAAATTAAAATTTGAAAGAGACACATCTGACAATATATTATTGTCAAAAAGAAATGAATGTGTGATCTTACCGTTCCCAACGGCGATCCAGCATCAATAGTACTTCTGAATATAACAGGCATTGACTCTTCTACAACATTATCACTCAATGGTACAATAACACGTGGTGGTCGTTGTTCTTCTGCTGGACCAGTTGTTGATGGTTGATGTTCAACACCGGGTACAACATTCAAAGGTCGCGTTTTTTCACTTTCAGGTTGATTCTTTATACGGTTCTTATCTGTTGGTATTTTTGCTCTATCACCAGCTGTAGGTTTTTCAGGTGCAATAGTTAACGTAGTACCCGTCGAATCTTGACCTGCTGGATTAGTTGCTAATACAACATATTGACCAACATCTTCTGGGCGAACATCAGTGATTTGTAGTACAACTTGTTTTGTAGGTGCATCATATTTAGTACGAATACGATTTGATGTCATTAATGGTTGACCATCTTTCAGCCAAACAAACTATAATAAACATATAAAAGTAATGAAAAGATTTGTTGTCATCAAAGTAAAATTTTACATTTGGTGTTGGTGTTCCAACAATAGTTGCACGAAGAAGAACTGGTGATCCTTTTGTTGCTTCTACATTCTCTAAAGGTACAATCACTTTCGGTGGTTGTACTTGTTGCATTTCCTCTTTTGTAGGAATTGGTGCCTTGACTTCGACTGGTTTTGGTGCTGCTGATGGAAGAGCATCAGGTGATGTTGCTGGTCGAATAGCTAATTTAGCAGTAGTTTCATCAGTACCTAATGGATTCGCTGCACGAACTGTGTAAGTTCCTTGATCACTAGGTTTTGCATCAAGAATTTCCAAAGTTAATATTTTTGGTTTCATATCATATGTAGTAATATATCGGTCACCTTCAACAAGTGGTTGACCATTCTTCAACCAAGTGAACTAAAGAAAGAAAAAATGACATATGAGCGAATGATTTAGTTGGCGAGTTCAATTCATATGAACGTTCTTGTCGTGAAAAAATTGATATTTTATAACATTAGACTGTCTTCTCTTAATCACGAACCATGTGTATAGCATCTCATGATCGGCCGTGATATGCTGTTAGTATTGTGTACAAAAGAAATAAATCTATGATCTTACTGTTCCTATTGGTGATCCAATATCAATGGTACTTCGGAATATAACAGGCATTGATTCTTCTACTACGTTGTCACTCAATGGTACAATAACACGTGGTGCTCGTTGTTCTTCCGGTGGACCAGTTGTTGATGGTTGATGTTCGGGACCTGGTACAACATTCAATGGTCTTGGTGTTTTACCTTCAGGCTGATTCTTCATATGGTTCTTATCAGTTGGAACTTTGGCTCGATCCTCAGCACCAGGTTTTTCTGGTGCAATAGTGACTCTAGTACCAGTCGAATCTTGACCTGCAGGATTGGTGGCTACAACCAAATACTGACCAACATCTTCTGGACGAACATCAGTGATTTGTAGTACAACTTGTTTTGTAGGTACGTCATATTTAGTACGAATACGATTTGATGTCATCAATGGTTGACCA